ACACCCACATCATAAAAAGTTTACCATCCTTCCAGTCACTAGTTCAGGAATTTCTGCTGATAATGAAGTACTAAATATTGATCAGAATAGGTTTATATCCAGGATATAAAAGCAAACATAGAACTAGTTCAGGAATTTCTGCTGATAATGAAGTACTAAATATTGATCAGAATAGGTTTATATCCAGGATATAAAAGCAAACATAGAATCATAGAATCATAGAATCGCTTTGGTTGGAAAAGACCTTTAAGATCATCGAGTCCAACCGTTAACCTAACCCTGCCATCCCACCACTAAACCATGTCCCTAAGCACCTCATCTATCCTTCTTTTAAATACCTCCAAGGATGGGGACTCGACCACCTCCTTGGGCAGCCCATTCCAGAGCCTGACAACCCTTTCAGTGAAGAAGTTTTTCCTAATATCTAACCTAAACCTGCCCTGGCACAGCTTCAAACCATTCCCCCTCATCCTATCATCTGTTACCAGGGAGAAGGCAACAACATGAAGCATGCAAGGACTCGGGCCACCTCTACCTTCTTTACCACAATTGTACACGGCGTACCTATAAACCTCTGAGGATTAATAAAGCAGCAGCCATATCAGCAAAGTTTAAAAGGCTTCCTATTGAACCGGACAAAAGCTTTGAAATACTGAGATTTAACATACAAATATTTGAACAGTCTATCTTCTAACACTTACTAAGCTTAAAATGTTTCCTTCACCACCACAGAATGCATTCAGTCGAACGAGTTACACGTTCGTAGTTACAGAAGGCATCTTCTGTGCTGCGATATAACTGCACTCACCTCAGCAGAACTGCTCCAGTTTCACTGCTGTACTGAATCCGCTCGAGATGTGAAGAGTGGAAACTCAGCACTTTGAAAGGAATCTGCTGTCAAGCCGCAGAGAGAAGCAGCATTGCCTTACCACATCTTCTGGCACGCGGAATAAAAAAAGACAAACCACTGGGGAGAAAAAACCAAAAGGCTTCTGGCACATGGAGTCAGACCAGGTGGGCAGAGAGAAGTGAATTATCAGCAGGCAGCCCAGGGCCAAAAGGTCTTAGCATCGCTCATCAGGGAGTACCTAGAGCACCTCAGAAAATACACACAACTTCTAAACTGCTCATATTGTGGGGGGAAAAAAAGGTTTGAAGCCAGTTGGATTTCAGTCTTTCCAGACAGCATGTGGTAGATTTAACAGAATACTCAAAACCACCTTTTATCCAATTCTAATCAAATACAACTGGGTTCGAGAGTGTTATTAATTTTCTAGCCATTTTCACCAGTAAAAATACCCCACAGAATAAACTTATCGTCACACTTTAAGAGTTGACTTTCCAGTCCAGTTTGAAACCAGAAAGCTTAAACTGAAGATTTCTGTGAACCTGGAGAACTGTGCGTACTTTTTCCCATTACTGGAATGCAATTCAGACAGCTTGTTGGCATAAATTGGGTGAGCTTGCAGTGAAGTGAAATGAGACAGATTAAATATCAGTACCAAACTGGTCATTCCGGTGTTTAGGGGGTTTTGCTGGTTTGCAATTTTAAATGGGCAATTTCTTTTAAAACGTGCCTTTTTTCTGCTTACTAACATGTATTACAAAGGAACTGGTGATATTGGCAAGTACTTATGTCTTGTCTCCACCAGTCTTGATCTCTACCAACTCATTCCTTATCTTCTGAAAAGATAATTGAATCAATGTTAAAAACCAGTAAATACTGTTTACAGTCATTATTGATGTTAACAATTTAGTTAATGTAAATGAAAACAGTCAAGGTTTCACAGAGTAACAGATACAGAGGTTGTGCAGATTTGTTTTAAAAACTCATGGACATTGACACAGCCCTGATTTAGATACCTGTTGCAAAACTTGCTTGAGTGAAAAGTGGTAATGTTTCCATGTTTCATATGGAGATGGATGGAAAAAAAAAGACATCGGACTGTGCTGATCCTACCTACAGCTTGAAGCAGCACCGGCTTTTAACTATGGAAAGAAAAAAGGATGAGACTAACAGAGCCGACAGAATAAACTCAAGATCACGTCTTACTGTTTAATAATACAAACAGCATGGAGCGTGTATAGGCTATCATGATTTACATGACGTAACAGGGGAAATTAAACCTTTTTGTTGTCATTTAATCAGCGGAAGATAACAATGCACATATGCTAAACTATTCTCAAAAGCCAAACCCAGAACAGCATCTACATGAAATCGTCATAGCCGCCCCCAGCTTTGGCAAGGAACTGTGAAGTGTTCAACACTCGGTTTTGCCTGTCCATTACTGCTACATGTACATGTTTTTTGCTAAGCTGCAAATGCTATTTATTAAAATTGCTCTGATCACGGATTAGCAGTTTCAACCACTTAGATTTAACCAGCATAACGGAGTGTTGACTGAGTGATCTGTAGAGCTAGAAATGAGTCAACTGCTGAGAACCTCAAAGAATAAAAGCCTCTAAGGGACAAAGGACTTTCTCCAACTACAACCAGTCCTGCTCTCGGGCTTCCTTGAATGTGTACCCACTAGGGAAACACCTGCCAACATTAACTAACACATATTGAAACTAGATCATTAATCCAAATAAGCCTCCAGCAATTCAGGATAGTTAGGATCCAAAAATTACTTAAATTTCACTTTTTGTAAGTGACATTGTTGGAGAGTTAACCATTTAAATAAAAATGTTAATAATCCAATATTAGCTTGGTTTTAGAAGGGAAAATAAACCATGTACTAAAGAAAAAAAAAAAAGAAAAAAGAAAAATGGGTTTCAGTCCTTTTACCCTATACTGCACACTGCAGTTTATCACTTCTTCAGTTTCTCAGCCAGAGGTTGTGAGATTCATGGCATGCCACAGCCATAAAGCTGTTGGAGAATGTATGTGGAATAGAAGAGAGTCATGTTACTCAATATGAAATGCCACAGTGCTATACTGCAAACTATCAGTATATAAAATTGTTTCACTACACAAAAAATCTCTCTCTCTGTGACTTAGGCAGTTCTTACCTGCAGTATATTGCATCTTTCTGGTCACCCAGGTGGCCAAATGAAGCAAGTGCTTAAAAGAATTACTGATATGACTAGAGAAGGAAAAGCTTCTTTTAAGGTATTTCAGGACTTTATCTTGTTTAGTCTAATGAAAATAAGACTGAGAAGAAACATAGCTGGTGTTTATAAGTATCTATGATAGCATTAAATTGATATAAACTACCTAAACAAAATAATGTTGATAAAAATAAAGCTGAAATTTCCTACTCATAAACAATGGTTTAAAAAATAGTTTTTAAACCATCAGAGGATACTGCAACACAAGGCCTTTGAATAAGATTGTATTTCCTCCTCTATTTTAAGACAGGAGTTCAAACAGGACTGCCCGTGACAGGAGGGGACCAAACTCCATTACCAAAACTTACTGATCTGCTGAGAGTTTGTCCACACTACATTAAATATTCGTATTTTGGCTTTGACACATAAAAAACATCAACTAGTAAAACCTTCCTCTGAAAGCATTTTTTTAGGAATAAACTCACACTTTGCACGCTGACTTCCGTTTTGGAATTGTGACTTGACAGGGAGCAGAAGGGGATTCCAGGGATTTTTATCCTGCTTACTATTACTTTTAAAATCAGTTTGTTGGCATACAAGGAAAATAAAAATACGCGGTTTTCCTGGATTGCTCTCAGAAGTGGTTCTAGGTCCTTACTACTCTTGACCACAGCTTTTCTAGCAGGGCTGCTTCTCCTTGAACCCAGTTTATCAACCTTTCTTTGGCTATAAATACAGGCAGTTGAGACACATTTTTTGAGCATACCATATAGTATTTCCCTGAATAAGTATTTCAGGAGCTGGCTGTGTAGGGATTTGGGGTTTTTAATTATGTAGGGCAACAGGAATGTGAAGATGGTAATTTGTCCTTGATAAAGCAATCAGGCATGACTAACAAATTGCTGTATAGCTCCTCCCTCGGGTAAGCCAGTAACTCCAGAGGAACAAAACAAGCACAGGGCAGTTTTACCTTCTAGACCCAAGGGGAGCAACAGTAGACCTCTACTTTCACTCTTTAAATAATAGAACAATTAATTGGAAGAGCCTGAAGGAAACAAACCGTGCCATTTAATAGTCCATTGCTGAGCAATCTGACAAATGAAGAGCTGAGTTTCTGTACTTTGGGAGGAGATTAGTGCTGCCATTTGCTCAGTTTGCATGCCAAACAGTAAGTGAATATATGAATATCCTGGTTCTATAGGATTTGTTCAGTAAGCAATATAGTAAGAACTACTAATGCCAGCTGCAAAGGAGGACTAGCATTTACTAACTAGAAAAGGAAAATTGTCTTTTAATGTAGCATATCCATGTTCTGTATTTTTTAGGTCTAGCGTATGAATTAAAGTGCACAGAATTTCACCCTCAATCACAGCAAATTTCACTGGTGAGGTAAAACCTACCCTACCCCTAAAGTAGCTTACCAGTGAGTCAGACTAGCACACAAGATGCACGTGCTAGGAAGTAATTGAGTGCATTTAGTTATTTTACAGACTTCAATTCATGAGCCATCAGTTGTCACCTCCAGACCTTCTTAGAAGCTTCATCAACTATATAAACTAATAAAGAGGGCCAGGAGAACCTGTCAGCACAAGAGCTACCATAACAGAGCTCCAAGTCATAGTGGATCCCTACAGGACTGATACTGCTGAAGTCAGGGAAAGTGACTCTGGATCTGGCAGGGAGCGCTTTTCAAACACAAGACTGACCAGATCTTCACAAACACACTTCTGTTCTTCTCCACAATCACCTGAGTTTCGTGTCTTTCCCTTCCATTGCGCACTCCACTCTT